GTAAGAGTAATGAGACTGCACACCGGCCGTGGGGCAAAGTACCAGCAGATATGATATTCTTCTGGGTTTGTCAATTAAAAACCTGGACGCAAAAATGCCAGTATAAAGCTGACCTTTTCTGTGCACTTTTGTGACAGGGGTGAACTTTTGCATGTAATGCCCTTGATCCAGTCATAAAACTAGAAGCATATTATTCTACTATACTGCATAAAAATAAATTATGGAAATGAATAAACTCAACAAAGTCATGAAAGAGTACTACGCAAACTACAGCTACCCTGCGCATTTAGTATTTGATTATTCGATCTTGGACTTCGATTTCAAAATGTACTGATCCAGTTACATATGCGCCAGCCTAAAGCAGGATAATTTGCGTACAGATGCGCTTGTTGAAAAATTGACAAAGAAAATAGTATAATTTAAAAAAAAAAACAGGTAGCGAAACGGCTGGTATTTGAACAATGTTAATTTAAAAAATTTGAGCTACAGAAGTTCTCAAATCATGTATACGTGGAAGTGGCTTTCAATAAAAGTATGGCATTTGACAGACAAACACAACTTTATGTGATTAAAACAACATTGTGGACATTTTCAATCATCTCCCCCTGGGGGCCGCTCAATGTTTTGAACATTTAGTACAGCAGATAGGTGATGGGATTGTGCCTTTGATGATACAAGCATCAAGCATGGTATTTGGCACACAGAACAGGAGTTTGTATGCATGGAGGAAGGAACATGGGCTATGTTGGGCCATTACATATTTGTCCTTTGAAGAAATAGGCCTATAGATCGGATAACAAAAAAAGTTTGAAAATTGCTAGTTATTCTACCAGCATACATGCATTTTTTTCAAGTGATGAATCTGCGATGGCCCTATAGCAAAATAACTTTCTTAAGACATACTCTGACTGTGTGCCAAATGTCATGCTTGTATAGGCACTGTAGGCACAATTCCCCCAAATATTTCCCCAATCGCATTGATCATTAATTTGGAACTGCGCTATTTAAGCACCGGTATTATTTATTATTAATTTCAATGAATAGACAAAAACGCTATTCTGATATTCATCAGCTCCTTTGTTATCAAACGACATTGTTTAAACATATAGTCCATCATTTGTAATTTGTGCATTTTGTTCGTTTGAAGTAATAAAAGTGTTCAAAATCTAATGAAGGATACTGAACAACTAACCTGGTGAAGTTTCAGCTCAGCTTCAGCTGTATATTCCGAGAAAAACAGCATTCTAGGATCTCAATTTCAAATCAAAAGTTGCTGAATCATGTTTTGAATTGGGCCTGAATTGCAGCTATACGCGATGTCACGCACTGATCCGATGAATCGTAGCAACCACGCGCGCCTGTGCGTCGTGCCAATGCTTGCGCGCGCTGCGCCGAATAACAAAACGAACTACTAATTTAAATTTTCCTACGGTGCGTCTTAAGACGCACCGTTGGAAAGGCCTTCTTTCGTTGATAACTTCAAAATGATAGCTTGCCAGAAAGATTAATTTCACAGGGAGTTTAGTCCCCTTACTATCTTTCAACCAAGTATGTTTTTCAACAATAATACGCCAGTTACTTTTTCGGATGGCTGCAAATGATGGACTATAGCTTTAAATGGGCACACTTTCATCTATTTACAGAAAAAAATTGTCTTCAAGATTTTCCTGGCATTTCAAGGAAATCAACCTTGATTCCGTCCCCTGTTTAACTGTATATCTGTGTCGAGCACTGCAGTCACACCCCCCTGTCAAATAAATAATAAATAACAACCTCCGAAGTTCTTCCACCCAACCAACTTCAACCCAACCGAATTTCCTTTTCATTCATAATCCCTCCAACATACAGCCCACTCCATCTTCCAAAATAGAAGCCGAAATAATTGAAAAAAAATCTCTCTGTCCCAATAAGAGGATTAGTGGATGGTGTGGGATGGCTTGAAAACTGCCTATTCAATGTGGGTACTTCTTCCTTATTGCCCCTAAGCCCCTTTTTGTGATTGACTTTTTTGTTTGCTGTGGACAATCGCTTTTGTGTTTGGACAATCACCAGTGAGTATTTTTTTTATAGGTAACCACAGATTTGCATGCAATGGTGTGGAGGAAGGGTCATTTACCTGGTCTGATTACACAACACAAGCCAGGTTTTTTTTTAGTAGTCATGTGCAGACCATGTGATAGGTCATGTCTGTGGTTTGGAAACCACAAAGATTTGGCGGGAAACTTTAGGTGTGAGAACACTTGGATCATAGATTAAGGTACAGGCTCTGTTGTAAACAGCGTGGGTTAACTAGGAGTTGCCATGTTTGTGTTCCTTCCTCCATGCCATAACGTTTACAACTGCTGCTTGTAGAGTATTTTGTAAAAAAAAAAAAATCAGCTCTTCGACTATGGGTTTGCTTTGAGCAATTCAAAATTTTTTTTAACTGATTGTAATTCCGCCCAGGAGCCACGATCCCGTTCACGTTCAACACCACATTTATCTATTAAAAATACACCCGTAAAGCCTCCAAAGTCACTTAATGCTACAGTTAGTTGGGCGCGGACAACCAGGCATTTTTTTTACATTGGCCTATCTAGATCCCAGACCCACTTTCTTTGAACTCAATGGTTTTTGTGTCTGGAGTGCTGAATGGTAATACATAGCAACCGATGAAAACTGGTGTCCGAAAGAATAGATGTTTTCACTGGCTGACGTCAACACGTCTGCACCTATAGACAAATCCGATGGCAGCCATTTTCTGCAGTGGTGTAAGGCTTGTGCGAGTTGCTCTGGCTCATGTAGGGCGCACGCGCTTCGGGCTCATTCAACCAATAGGAAAACCAAAATGCGTGTGTGCCGCGTCTTTAAGAACGCGTGCAGCATGCGCGTGAGCACAACACCACCGCAGTAAAAGCTTCTAATTCTGGTCGCCGGATTCCACTACAGTTCTGAATCACCGAGTGAAATATCACTTTTGTAATCCCCCTGTTAGAAATGAACTTTAATCACTAGACAAATTTTCTAAAAGTGTCTGGAATCTAATCTTGTTGGAAATGAAATTGTTACTCCTGGGCCAAAAAGTGAGTGAGGAGTCACATTAAAGCTACAGTCCATCATTTGTAATTTGTGCATTTTGTTCGTTTGAAGCAACAAAAGAGTTCAAAATCTAATGAAGGATACTGAGCAACTAACCTGATGAAGTTTCAGCTAAGCTTCAGCTGTACATTCCGAGAAAAACAGCAATCTAAGATCTCAATTTCAAATCAAAAGTTACTGAATCATGTTTTGAATTGTTTTGAATTGCAGCTATACGCGACGTAGCGCACTGATCCGACGAATTATAACAACCGCGCGCGCCAGGCGTCGTTCCAATACTTGTGCGCGCTGCGCTGAATAACAAAACGAACTACTAATTTAAATTTTCCTATGGTGCTTCTTAAGAATCACCGTTGGAAATGCCTTCTTTCGTTGATTACTTCAAAATGGAAGGTTCCCAGAAAGAATAATTTTACAGGGAGTTTAGTTCCCTTACTATCTTTCAACCAAGTTTGTTTTTCAACAATAATTACGCCAGTTACTTTTCGGATGGCTGCAAATGATGGACTATAGCTTTAAGGCAAGTAAAACTCCGTGCGTGAACCTTACACAGTAGCGCATCATGACCACTAACTGCAGCTCCAGCCGTGGGCCATGGTGCGTAGTGGTTCACATGCAAACAGAACACCAGGTTTGACAGGGCCTGACCCTCAAGCGTTCACATTATGGAAGTGTGCACATTCAGAATAAATAGGCACAATTGCAGAATACCCCGCCACTCACCTATCCCACCTCGTATCCGGATACGCGGATACGGAGACACACTTGGATGCTCAACCAAAACCACACGCGTGCGCCACCCCGTATCCACTTCCCGGCACCTACTTTGGACTTAAACGTTTTTCCCCTGCTCCCCATTCAACTCACGTTGTCTCTGCCTTCGTTATTTTCCAACACATGGATATGGATGCTTCGTTCTCAAAAATAATACAGGGAAATAGCGCCCTCTTTAGATCCTCCAGCGCTCAAATCCACCCCGTATATTGTATCCGCGTACGTATCCACTTCCCGACATCTACATGTACTTTGGACATTTGTGCAACATTTTCCGACTGCGTAGCCATTTATTTTTAGGGGGTAATTTTCGCGTGGCGGGGTATTCTGCAATTACTCCAATAAATAATTTGATGTGCGTACTTCGCGCCATACGCATGTGAACCAGTGCACCATGCAGTGTGTCTCCTGCACTGAAGCTGCCAGTGTGGTGACGAAACACCATCTTAAGTTCAACTTCATGCAAGGAATTCAGAGACGTACGTTGAGGGGGTAGTGTGTGTAATCCATGAGGCTGCAGAGTACAGACCAGTAAATCGTCTCCCATAGGCAGGCATGCAACTGGGAGTTTAGAAAATACGAGGAAATTCCAAACCACACAAGACTTTGTACAGTGTTTTTCAATATTCCTAAAACAAGGAAATCAGCCAATCCGAGGAAAAGTTGCATGCCTGCGTAGACCTCAGTAATTTATTACGCGCACTTCAAAAAATTATTTAAAATACCCACAACTCTCCAAGGTGTGGAGCAACCATCAAATTGAAGCTTATTGTATCATTTTTCATTTTCTGTTCAATTTTCGGGTGGTAATCTGATGACTTTTGGGAAGAGAATGCCACCCAAAGATGATGAATGCCACCCCTACAAGTAGTCCTGTGGCCCATCGCCACATGATGCCTTCGATCCAGAACAATTTTACGGACCAATTTCATCTAAATTTCACAGAAATACGAGCTCGCAGTCCTGTGCACGACTGCCACCCATCTTTTTATCAAACCTTCAAGTTGATGGCCCACATAATGCTCTAATAAAAATAGCAAAAAAAATGAAGGCATACAAAATTGTGCTTTGGCCCGCATAGGCAATTTTGTACCTATGTACTGGTCTGCACCCTTTATAGAAACAAGAAGAAAATGTGAAGTACGTACGTCTTCCATTGACCCTCCTACGACTGGCTACGGTGAGGGGGTTGACAGGCAAGTAGGGGGAGCCTTCAGTCTTCCGCCACGAGGCGGAAGTGTCTCGCGACAGCATGCCTTGACTTGGGTCTCCGTGACCTTGCTGAACCATCGGCAAAACCACCGCTTACACCCTCCGCTCCAAAAAAAACCAAACAAGCAATCTCGGATTTTAGAAAAACGCAATCCCAACGTTTCAGAGTTTGACCTGTTGTCCACCTCTCAGCAACAATTTTTTCTTAGTATTTGATATCCTGGGCAAGGAATAAAGGTGTATTTAATCCAAAGCAAGCTTCTGTAACGGTGACAACTTTAAACCGCATCCAGGGTTCGGCGTTTTTGCAGCACCAGTGTAGAGTTTTAAGAAAACATTTGTCCTACCAGTTAATATCAGCGACACTGTCATAGTTAATACTGATGTCATCTTTTCAACAGATTCCAATTTCTCCTTTTTGAAACCGCTTAAAAATCATACACTAATTCCTGGGGCAAAGTATTTCAATCTGCAGACTTCTAAAGCATCCAGAGAAGCTGATCAGTGTTAAAGCAAAGCTCCCGAGGAAAAAATGTGGAGATAAATTGGAAACTGGGTAGGAAACAAACCTTCAAATTTGTCAAAAGGCAAACACAGTGCTTTTAACATCCATTTGTGCAGCACAATTACAGACAATTTCCCATTTGATCATGAAGGTGGGTATGTAGATCGATGCAATTCCATCAAAGGGACCTTCGTCATTCGCAGCTGCTATGTGACATTTAAATTCCACAGATTTGTGCGTCACAAGCTAGCATCATGATTGAAAATTAAAACCAGTTGCTGTCGCGTCGAACTCTTGACGGTAGATGTATAGTGTTTATACAGTTGAGGATGGAGGTCATCCGGGGTATGTAGTATGTTCATGAAGCTATAAAAAGGATTGTTAACTCCACAGTGCCCTGATGTCAAAATATAGAAATCACGTTGCTGTTTGTTGACAAACAAACCAAACAATGCCGCCACGTTCCTTCGTTGACATTCAACAAATGTGGAGGTCACAAACTATGCTGGCACTGCCAAAAAAGGTGAACGTCGACAGGGAAGAATTTGAGTGAATGACAGCGACGAAGATGGTGATCCAGACAAGCTGTCCAACAACTCATGCCATGAGCATCGCGCTGATCGCTTCAAACACGACAATGCTGAATATTTCCTTCCGTACTCAGAATTCCCTGTTGTCGGTGTCACAAACTGGAGTAGGTACCGGTAGAATCAAGGTACAATGAAGCTCTATCAAGCACCTCTCTTGTGTTTAAAAGATGCCGCTTTTGATGAACCAGACGCAACGGGCTGATCATACAACCGTCAAAACATGCCGGCGTTTGGCTTATGCCCTCGCGTACATACACAGGTTTTTTCCCTCTAGCATAGATCCAGTGTGATGCACTAGACAGTTAATTTGCCCAAACATGCAGGCTGCTCGATGTAGCTCGCACAGCTATCTGCATACGCCCACCAGGGTACCCGACAACCCTTAAGACCACCCAGCTGATTGGTCAGACACAATGCTTCTGGGATTACAGCCCCGGTAACAGTCAGCCAATCAGAGGTGAGGTCAGTGAGGGGTGAAGCATTGACTGCCTGGCCACTCAGCTGACAATCATTCTGTGGGTAGAATTTGGACCGTACCATTCAGCCAGACAGGGTGAGTCATAATGAGTGCAGTTCTCTAGGGAGGGGACACAGTTCAGTGGGTAGTAGTGTTAATGTGTACGCCTTGACATGGTGAATTTACATAAATATCCAAATGGTGATGCATAATAAACAACTTACATAACAGATTACTCATTATCAGTCATAGTAACAATTTAATCTTATGAATAGAAACAATTTAGTCCCGTATACTGTACATATGTAACAAAAACAAGTCCTTATTGTACTTCCAATTTTACAAGTACATGTACCTTAATAAACATGATAAAAAAAAAATTCTAATGAAGCGATTCAGATTTGTATTAATCATATTCATAATATGAATCCTACATTGTATACATACAGGAACAATTTGGTATTTTTTAATAGAATAAATAAAATATAAAATTTTCGGCAAAAGAAAATTGTTTTGAGGCATTAATATTTATAGCCTATGCATCAAATTTGAAGGCCTTGAAGAATTAATTAAAAGTAGGGGGCCTACCACTTCAATGTACTTTTCAGTAATATTAATATCAAATGCTGATTTTTTTTCCCCGCAATTTGGATAAACTTTGCAAAATGCATCTCTCCTGCACAACAAACCAATGCAAAGCATTTTGGCTATTTACACCGAAGACCATTCCAATCAAAGCCATTCTAGAATTAATGAAGAACAAAAATCATACAAGGCCGGAGTCTAATTGCACCATATTGTAACTCACTAATCACAATACAAACAATGCAGGCTACCTGCTGAGTTTATTATAATGAGGATTAGATAAGATAGGGTAATATGTTAGAAGGTATCCTATACTGGGGAAGCTTACAGCGACACTCCGCAATTTTATCCATGATCTGAATATCATGGAAAGTCCAACTGATACGACTTTCCAAAATTGCAATGTTAGGGAAAGATGTCTACTGAGAAACATAGGATATCACAGAAAGAAGTAGTTTCCGAGATGGAATATCTAAAAAAGATTTCTTTTTGAGAAAAAAAAAAATTCAGGGAAAGACGTCTTTACACAATGTTGAATCTCAGAAACTCTTTGGGCTTTGCCAAATATACCAAATATTTGAATATTCATCGATCATCCATCAAATATCCGAATAGCAGTTTTGCCATTTATAAAAATGTGCATAGTCTTGAGAAGATGATGAAAAACATCTGCGATGTTATTTTAATCCTATAGCCTACCGATAGTTGCATGGTTTTGCTGTTTGACAAATGCCACATTTTTGTCCGAAGTCACTTTACAGTATGCCTAATTTGAAGAATTAGCTCTAATTTGCATCTTTAAATCTGTCAAATATCAGCCAGTTGGCTAGTCTGAGTATCATCTCCGCAACCAAATGTGAGCTTGCAAATTTTATGTGACCCCATTCAAATTTCGATCAGAAATGTGAACTGAGCTGATTGGTCAATCAACCTATCGCGTTAGAATCACGTCAACGCAGCTTGTGAAATATTGTCCAATTACATGATAAAAAAAAAAGATATACAAATTGATGCGGAACGCGCAAACTCTTAGACAAACAAATTTAACGTACAAAATTCAATAGGGTTGTCTAAGGGGCGTGGCTACGGTAACTCACAAACGGCGATAGGTCAATTCGGCTGCCATGTTTTTGTAATGAAACGGGTTGCTGAAGACACGACAGAGGGCGCCATGCTGAATGGTCAGAATCTCGAGGTCAAGACGCAGTCTTGTTTTGCATAATTCATCACCAAATCTGCTCGCATATCACAGACACTTGCTGTACAATGGGATATTCCATAGACTACCAGTTGGCTAAACATACACGATAATGTTAATATTATTGTAATGAACTCACTGTCAATTTTGAACAGGTGCAGTGCACACAAATTCCGATCGGTGACCCATTTTTATTCCTGACTGGTGCAGGCAGTTTAGGCTGGTGCATGTAAAACCTGATCGCCGCGTTTCGAATACGTATTCAAATATTCAATCGAATTCTGTAAATGGAACAAGTGAATACTGAATTATTCTATACTAAGCTATGTTTAATCTCAGAGACACCACAGACAACTTAAATGTGTATCTTTGCATTATAACTTTGAATAAAAACAGATGTTCACTTTTAGTTTCAGCTTCAGGCCCGCAGTTCATCAAATGTGAAATAAAACATTACAGATGAGACCGAGGCCTAAGGGTTTGCGCGCTGGACTTGATCAATAAATGGGAGGTTTTTGGAACAATGTGTGAATGATACATGTGCAGAGGTCTCTGTGTGATTTGTGTGGTTCTGAGAACTGAGAACCAGGGCCCAATTTCACAGCTCTGCTAACCGTAGAATTCCGCGCTTACGATCACCATCCTGTGCTAACCGCGCTAGCAGAAAGGTTCTGTGCTAACCCTGTACAAATGTAAGGCACACAATCCTCAGTTACGGGATGTACGCATGCTCAGAAGCCAAAATTCCTCGCTAACCTGTGAAATACGCTTACCGTAAGAACGGAATTATCTGCTACAGTATGAGTAAGCAGGGATTGTTTTGCTAACTGTAAGCAGAGCCAAAAATTTGGGCCCAGTTGGTTTAACTCCCAGCTTGAATCAATCTGTCTCTTATCCTTGTCGCAGACAGACAAATATTTGAATTTTGAAAATGAAACTACAGCGGCGAAAACAAACAGCCAATAATTAAAATGAACGTTAATGTCTGAGCATAGTCTGTGCACTGATGTTTACTTCAATGACTCATTTGATTGATTTTTCAACTGCGCTTTAACAAAAGAATACAAAAAAATCTTTGTAATTAAAGAAGGTAAGTTACCAGTTTTTTTACAAAATTGGCACAACACCTATCAGCAGGCATGCAACTGGGAATTTAGAAGAAACAAGGACATTCCAAACCACACAAGACTTTGTACAGTGTTTTTTTTTTCAATAATTTAATGGCATTCCTGAGAAATAAAAACGAGGAAATCAGCGGATCAGATGAAAAGTTGCATGCCTGTATCAGGCATTTTAAAAACAAGGAAAAATAATAAGAAGAATTAGGAAGAAGTTACAAATAAAATGAACAAACAAAATGACTGACAAACCAACTGGACAAGAAACTATTTAATTGAGCTACAGTTCAACTTCAAGTACATGTAGGTAATTTTTCAGTTTGGCCAAATTATACAAACAGAAAAAAACCTACATGTAGCTCAATTAAAAAGTCCAAAAACAAAACAGACAAAAAGAACAGGAAAAAATCAATGAAAAACAATAAATTGGTGGCATCCAGACACACAAAATAAATTCAAAGTACATAAAAACAACAATGTAGAGAGCTATTTCATAACAGCCAATTGTGATGCAATTCATCAAAAAATAAATCCGTGCATTTTCCGCAACACTGGGCAACAATAAGTACGACCACGTAGCCCGCCCTTGAACCTGCATAACTAATCGAAGAGATTCTATTCTCTGCAGCTTTTACATCAAAACAACAATCGTTGCCACGATGCGTAATCTGCGCCTTGCTGTTGCACAACTGACGCGACCTGCACTCAAATGCGCATAAGCTAATTGACGGGGATTCGATATTCGGATGCCGTGTTTCTGACATGCCGTGCTGTGACGCTGCTTTTGTCGATTGTGTTGTGCGAAAAAGAATGTAAATCTATGCATTGTCACTCAAAAAACAAAAACAACAACAAATTATTAAGTTGGAGAACTGCAGATGGAAATGAACTTGCTGACCTTTTCCTGATGAAGGCACAGCATACTCTCATGACTTTTTTTTTATACTAAGGGAATAAATGTGTGCTTCGGAGGTTTTTATCACTCTGTTTAATACCACTTAGAGTCTGGGTGCTGATAATTACCCGAGCCCGAGGCAAGGGTAATTATCAGCACCCAGACTCTAAGTGGTCTTAAACAGAGTGATAAATACCGACGGAGTACATATTTATTCCCATTCATAAATACCTTTTCGGTAAAAAAAAATCATAGAATTCGTTCAAAACATCCCGATTTTGTTCAACAAATTCACTTTATGCTTTTTGAAACATCCCTCCTGCAAAATAATGGAGTGTTCAGCTGGCGAGTAAGATGAAAACAACCCTTTTATGGAGATTGACGCGCGCGTATCATGTTATGTCGCGCAGAATGCACCTGGCGCATTGCGTTTTGAATTTAGACTTATAAAATTCTAACTCCCTGGTAGTGTTGCGCATGCCTATGTGAGGATTGTGAATGTTCAACCAATGAAACGATAAGAGGCACTGGATTTTTAGGAGTCCACATTTTATTGTGACACTGGAAAAGTGTTTAAGACCAGCTAGCCATGTCTTTATCATCCGTTTAAGACCGGCCACGTGACGGGCTCTCGACCAATAGGAATGCGTAAACTGTCTTAGGTATTTATGAATTTTGGTTAAAATTGTAAACATGCAAAATTTTGAAACAAACACCAACCAAGCTAAACCATATGACACCCAAAAGCCCTACAATTTGGCTGGATTCTGCAAGATTCGCATTACATTATTGTTGGATTCTGTAAGAGACTGTAGAGTGCTTGCAAAAAAACACAAAAAAACCAGGAAGGCTCAGCTTTTAGTTTAAGTACAACTGTATTGATTTTTTTTTATTAAAAAAAATAAATAATTAGGGGTCCATAAGCAGTTTAGTACCAATTTCAGAAACACCATTTTTTTCATCCTGAAATCATAAAGGTCAACCTTGGGTCACAATTCTGTATTCGTACAGAACAAAAAAAATAAAAGGGTAAGGGGGGGGGGGGGGGGGAATCACCAAACAAAACCTTATTGACTCTGTCTGTCCCAGTTTATATTATCTGCTCGTACTACGTGAGGCCCACTTTTTGCCCAAGACAAACTTTACACAATATACGCTCAA